TATATATATATATATATCACATTTATATAGCCGCCCATCTCACACAAAGCAACTCTGGGCAGCAGACAACAATAAAATAAAATAAATAAAAACAATCAGATAAAGTGATTATTAAAATACAGCATCAAAAAGTTTTAAAATTTTAAAATATACAAAGCCCACAGAAAGAGGAGAATAATCACTGTGGAGCCATCTAAGAATGTCTCCGGTTCCCAAAGACCCCCAGGCCTGATGACACAACCAGGTTTTGAGGGGCTTCCTAAATGACAGCAGGGAGGGGGTGAGCCTCACTTGGGGGGGGAGAATGTTCCACAAGGAAGTAGCCACAGTAGTGAAGGCCCACCTCTTGGGATCCACCAAATGCATCGATGGAGTGCGTAGCATGCCTTCCCTGCTGGACCTAATGGGATGCGCTGATGTGATCGGGGAGAGGCAGTCCCTCAGCCCGGTCCCATGCCATGGAGGGCTTTAAAGGTCAAAACCAGCACCTTGAATTGGACTCGGAAGTAAACTGGCAGCCAATGCAGCTCATGAAGCAGAGGAGCAATATGTGCTCTTCTAGGAGCACACAACTGCCCACGCTGCTGTATTCTGCACCAGCTGAAGCTTCTGGATACTCTTCAAGGGCAGCCCCATGTAGAGTGCATTACAGTAGTCCAACCTGGAGATAATTAGGGCATATTATGCTCCCACTTACATTTAAAAAGTCACAGGCTGGTGCTTCCTGCTTTGTATTTCTTTTTGTTTGCCTGATAAAATGCAAAATTTTGAAGTCTACCTTCCTTTTTAGCAATTTCACAGAGGAAGTTATGTTGGCTGAAGCAACGAAATTGGCAAAGAAGCCGCTGGTGTCTGAAAGACTAACAGGTTTTAAGGATTGCGTTAATAAATCTCACCAGTCTTTAAGATGCTGCAAACACCTTTGTTCTCTTCTAATTAAAGCAAAATACCTTGGTAATTAGATTTTGGAGTATATGTAAGCCAATGTGTTTGTCCTCCTTGCTTCTGAAACAGCCAACTTTGTATGGTCCAGAGGTTAACCCTGTGCATCGACCTCATAGTTAAAGCTCCACAGGAATGAGAACACGGACTCGGATGTCAGAAGAGGAAAAGTGTAGGGTATTCCTGTCTAGGCTGTGATGATTAGACCTCATGCTAGGCCCATAAGCCCATATTATTCCACCCACTGATCCTACAAAATGCTTTAAGGACAGAGAAAGCATTGCACTGTCTCAGGTTCCCTGGAGGCAAAGGACAGAGAGACTTGATTTGGAAGCTCAGCCCCCCTCTATGAAGCTAATATTGACTTCCTCAACTCTTAGAGGTAAACAGCTCGACTGCCCTCTTGTCACATCTCTCCCTGCCGTTTGAATACAGCATATCTAATACAGGGGTTGGCCTCTTTGTGTTTCTGTGCTAGCCGACGGGTGGCACAGACATGCTGTCCTATGAGGTTGCCCAAAGGGTAATTCTCAATTGTTAAATCTTTTTCATTTTGATTTTAGTAGTGGAAAGCCCCTCTTTTTGTCTTTCGTGATTTTTCCCGTGCTTAGCTATAAATTTTTAAATCATAACTGCTGCAAAAATGCCACACACCCCACCCCACCCCACCCCCCGTACAATAGGGTAAATACGACCAAATCTGCTCTAAGATCTTTGCTGTCTCATACACATTCCTTAAACTACCAGCACTGAAGAGCCATACCAATGGGGGTGAAATGCTTGGCAAAACAGCTATTTCAAGGATCTTGTTTCTCTTCAGAAGGAAAAATCAGATTATTTTTTTTCATTCACTCGCGTCTTCTGGTGGAACAACTTCCAGGAGCATCTGAAGATGCATGGTCATGGGCTCTGAAATAGAGAAGATGTCAGAGTTACAGATCTTCTTTTTTTTTTTTTTTTTTTT